CTGCAGATAGAGTTTTTACAATTTTACAGTATCTTTCTGAGAACACAGAGTATGTGACCACTTCCTCACCCATGAGACCATGGCCGTCTCATTCTGTTTTAGCTTTGAGCATGTCAGTTAGCCACAGGAGTCTATTTTGTCTGTCACCAAGTGCACACTTTATCAAAGGAAAGTGCTCCTGTCTGGGAAGATCACATAGACTTCCCAAGAAGGTGATATGACAGCTGAATCTTTAAAGTAAGGCTTAAGAGAAGTTTACCAGACTGACAAGAAGAGAAATCCTTTCAGTTAGAGGTGAGACAAAGCCTAGAGCATTTAAGGAACCGCGAATAGTTAGGGATTTATAGGGAAGCAAAAGAGGCAAGACTAGAGAGACAGGTGGTCAGGGTAAGATCCTAAATATTTTAAATAGAATGTTAAATTACATGGCCCTATAGGTAATGAGAAGTCAGTAAGGTTACAATAGGAGATAATACATCTACTAGGCCTCGAGATCCTATACATCGACCACCACTCAGAAATGGACTTGGATGTGTAAGAAGACTCATGACACAGGAAAGACATGAGTGCTCAAACAGCTCTCGTGATTACTGGTAGACTAATCAAATGCAAATTCATTGAGAAATCTAGTTACCCAAATGGTGCACAATTTCTAAATTTATTTTCCATAAAAATTCAGAGGAAAATCATGCACTTTGCAAACACATTTCTTCTTGAAGCAGCTATGGTTTAGTAGGCTGAACTGGAAAACCAGTTTCCATTCTGGCTTTATCACTTTTCATCTACGTGATAATAGACAATAGAAAAGTTTCTTAGCCAGGTATGCTCACACCTGTAATCCCAGCACTTTGGGAGGTTGAGGTGAGTGGATCATGAGGTCAGGAGTTTGAGACCAGCCTGACCAACATAGTGAAACCCTGTCTCTACTAAAAATACAAAAATTAGCCAGGCATGGTGGTGCACACCTGTAGTCCCAGCTACTTGGGAGGCTGAGGCAGGCGAATAGCTTGAACCTGGGAGGCAGGGGTTTTGGTGTGCCAAGATCATGCCATTGCACACCAGCCTGGGCAACAGAGCAAGATTCTGTCTGAAAAAAAAAAAAGGAAAAACGAAAAAAGAAAAGTTCCTGAAATTCCCTGCCTTAAGTCCATCGTCTGTTAAATAGGAATAATTTATCTGTAGGGTTATCATGAGATTAGGATAATGTACACAATGGTTTCACATTTAGTAGCTAACCTGATATATAAATGTTTTTAATTTGTTAAATTAAGAAGTCAGCTCTCTGGATATATTTAAGTATGACTTAATTTAGAGTGTGCAATCCATAACAATTTGATTTGCACATGACATTCCAAAAAACATTTATTCCTTAAAAGGAGACCTGATGGCATCTTCTTTGTAGTTTCTGTCTGTCCCTGAAGGCAAGATTCTTAAAATGGTAGGTGGGAGAAAGAAGAAGGAAACTAGGTAGGAAACTGTTAAATCACTAAATTACATGTTTTATCCTATCATTTGAATCATATGGTGACACTTAACCTTTCAAGTTTTCCTTTGATTTTTCTCCTTATCACTCCAGTCACCTCAGACAAACCAATTAAATTTCATAACCCCTTTAAGGATTATGTGTTCCCAGCACAGCCTCACTTAGAATTTCAAATGAGATCCTATCTTCTCAGAGCTTACTCAATTGTTCCTTTATCAACTCCTGTGATTTCCTAATGTCAGTCATTCAGCCAGCCTTATTAGGTGATTTCTATTTTTAGTGGGTAGTACAAAGAAGAGAAAAAGACAGATCATTCAGATGTGGAATTAATAGTCTGGGCTCTGTGCAAAGCCTCCTGCAAAAAGGGCTTTGTGTCCCAACATTCGAATACCATCTTACAGTCCACAAATCACTTTGTAGTTTTTAAGGTGCTTTTAGAGACAATAGTTTTTGATCCTCACACAAACTCTTAATGTATGATAACCACCAGTTTATAAATGAGAAACTGTGCCTTACAAAAGGTTTGTGTCCTACTTAAAAATTCAGAATTAACAAGAGGCAGGATTTGTATTTCAGCCCAGGTCTCTGAGTCTTAAGTCTGATCTCCTAAAACACAGTAGCATGAAAAACTGAGCCTGAGAGACTTTAATGAAAAGTCAAAATATTGTAAATTTATTTAAAGACCTATTGTAACTGATGCAGATGTACGAACAATGTCTTCTCTGGTGAAAATGAAAGTAGACTTCGTGAGTTACTAAGAAATACAGATACAACTTAGAAATGTCTCTGCCTACTTAATAACAACATGTTGTAAAGGTTTAAAAACTATTTATTCAATACATGTTTATTGAGGGCCCACGAGTATCCCACACTGTTGTATGCATTGGGAATATGGCAATGAGTAATTTGAGTTTATATGGAGAGGGGCAGATAAATAGAAAACAAAGAAACTGATAAATGCTGTTAAGAACAATTAAGCAAGAGAAAGGATTATCGTATTGGAATGCTATGATTGTTAATGTTGTATGTCAACTCGAATGTGTCACAGAGTGCCCAGATTGAGCGTTATGGGGGGGGGGGTGTGTCTGTGAGGGTGTCGGCGATGAGAATAGCATTTGGATCAGTGGACTCAGAAAAGTTGCCCTCCCCATGTGTGTGGGCATTGTTATATCGAACTCAGCACAGAAAGTCAACACCAGAACAAAAGTATGCCAAATTACAGGGTTTATTGCCGGCGACCACGGAGGACTAACGTCTCTCCAACCCGTGGCCCCGAATGGAGAGACAAGACCTTTTTATATCCGCAAAACCACCTTGGGAGTGGGAGTGGAGATGGGAATGAAAGCTGTCAATCACCTCCCAGGCTAAGACGAGGGTGAGGGGCTTCAGACATTCCGAGGGCCAGTGGATTCAAATCACCTTCTGGGCAGAGAGGAGGATGAGGGGGTTCCGGATATTTCGAGGGCCAGGGGACTATTTGACATTCTGATTGTTATTTAAGGGGTTCACAGATGCTGAGATTAACATTCATTTACACATCGTTTGGGTAGGGGTGGGATCCATAGATTTTTAATTACTTGGCGCCAGGATGCAATTATCTGGGAGTGCTTACTCTGGTAAACAAAGGCCAGCAATTCTGGCAGTTAAGAGAAGGTATGCAGCTTTACCTCTCTTTGCATCCTGCAAATAATCTAGCAGTTTACAGAAACCAAGGTTAGCAGTCCTTGTGAGGAGAATGGAAACATTTTTGTCTTTTATAAGATGGCAGTGTACAGGTTCCAACTCTAAGTTAGCTATATCACAGGCATCACCCAATCCACTGAAAGCCTGAAAAAAAATTTTAAAAACAGGCAGAGGAAAGATAAATGCACTCCCTTTGCTTCCTGCCTGCCTGCTTGTATTGGGACATCGGTCTTCTCCTACCCTTAGACAGGGATGTACCACCCTCGTTCTCAGGATTTTAAACTCGGACTAGAATTAAACACAGGTTTTCTGGGTCTCCAGATTTCAGACAGCAAATTATGAAACTTATTAGCATATCCTTTACCCCACTCCTTTCTTTAAAAGTATTGTCAATGAAAACAGTCAAATTCTGTAAAACATTTAAAGAGGTTTATTCTGAGCCAAATATGAGCGACCAAGGTCCATGACACACCCTCAGGAAGTCCTGAGAACATGTGCCCAAGGTGGCTTGTTTATAGCTTGACTTTAAACATTCTATGAAGACAGAAGTTACAAGCAGACATTAATCAATGCACATAAGGTATACATTGGCTCAGTCTAGAAGATGGGACAACTGGAAGTGGGGCTTTCCAGGTCATAGGTGGATTTAAAGATTTTGATTGGCAATTGATTGCCAACAATAAAGAGCTGTTATTATCAACAGACCTTTCTAAATCAGTAGAAAGGAGTGTCTGAGTTAAGGATTTGTGGAGACCAAGGTTTTTGTTATATAGATGAAGTCTCACAAGCAGCTGCACTTAGAGGAAATAGATGGCAAATGTTTTCTATTCAGACCCTTAAAAGGTGCTAGACTCTCAGTTAATCTCTTCAGAATTAGAAAAAGACCTGAAAAAAGCAGGAGATTCTCTACAGAATGTAGATATTTCCCCACAGGAGACAGTTTTGCAGGGCCATTTCAAAATATGTCAAAAAAAAAATATGTTTTGGGGTAAAAGACTTCCATTTTTTTCAGGGCCTGCTATCTGCCATGTGATGCTACCCTAGAGGCATGTTGAAATTTGGCACATTACTGCTACAAAGAGTCTGTTTTGTCAGTCTTAAGACCTCTGGTGTCTTTTGTTTCTTTGGTTTTTCTTTTTTTTTTGAAACAGAGTCTCACTGTGCTGTCCAGGCTGGAGTGCAGCAGTGCAATCTCGGCTCACTGCAACCTCTGCTTCCCAGGCTCAAGCAAGTCTCCTGCCTCAGCCTCCCAAGTAGCTAGGACTACAGGTGCCTGCCACCATGCCTAGCTTTTTAAAAAATTTTTTTAAATTTTTATTGGGGCCTCGGTTTCAGTATGTTGGCCAGGCTGGTCTTCAACTCCTGACCTCAAGTCATCTGCCCCCCAAAGCCTCCGAAAGTGCTGGGATTACAGGCCTGAGCCACTGTCTGGGCAAGATCTCTGTTTTAATGCTAATGTTGGTCAGTAGTCCCTGGATTCCAAAGGAAGGAGGGGATAACAGGTATGTCCAAGCCCCACTTCCTATCATGGCCTAAACTCATTTCTCAGATTTACTTTGGAATGCCCTTAGCTGAAAAGAGGGTCCATTGAGTCAGTAATAAGGCTTACAATTTTATTTTTGGTTTACACCATAAAAATACAGAAAAGGGCATTCAAGTTACAACAAATATACATGTTCACTAGGAATGAAAGAATTTTTTTTTTTTTTTTTTGGAGACAGGGTCTCACTCTGATGCCCAGGCTGGAGTGCAGTGGCACAATCTTGGCTCACTGCAATCTCTGCCTCCTGGGTTCAAGTGATTCTCTTGCTTCAGCCTCCCAAGGAGGTGGGATTACAGGCACGCACCACCACACCCTGTTGGTTTTTTTTAGTTTTGTTTTTGTTTTTTGTATTTTTAGTAGAAACAGGGTTTCACTAGGTTGGCCAGGCTGGTCTCAAACGCTTGACCTCAAAAGATCCACTCATCTTGGCTTCCTAAACTGCTGGGATTACAGACATGCCCTACTGTGCCTGGCCGTTTTTTTAATCTAAGAAAAATATTTCCAATAAAGTCATTTTTGTGCCACGCACAGTGGCTCATGCCTATAATCCCAGCACTTTGGGAGGCATAGGCAGGAGGATCACTTGAGGCCAGGAGTTCAAGACCAGCCTGGACAACAGAGTGAGACCCCATTCTCTTTATAAAAAAAGGTCGTTTTTGTTACCTTCTATACCCATCTATGATGAATTTGGTGTTAATCCTTCCAGCTTGTAATTATTTTCCTAACAGGTGGACTGATATGAATTTTCTGGTATTTAACTACTTCTGACTTAACAAAAACAATTCTACATAACTCATCCTACTTCGTATATATGAATCCATAGTCACATCATGAACTATCATATTTGTGTATCTATATAAATGTTAGACTGCATTTATTCTACAGTTTTGTCACTCAACAGTTTACTTATGAGATCCATCTGTCTTGTTACATACATACCTAGTTTCTTTTAACAGTGGATCAGTACTTATTTAGAGGTTTTCTTTTCAATATATACTTAGGTTGTTTCCAATTTTTTCACTATAATACCTATTTCTGGGCTGGGTGAAGTGGCTCACACCTGTAATCCCAGCACTTTGGGAAGCCAAGGTGGGGAGATCACCTGAGGTCAGGAGTTAGAGACCAGCCTGGTCATCATGGCAAAACCTTGCCTTTACTAAAAATAGAAAAATTAGCCAGGCATGGGGTGGCACATGCCTGTGGTACTAGAGAGTCTGAGATGGAAGAATCACTTGAACCTGGCAGATGGAGGTTGCAGTGAGCCGAGATCATGCCACTGTGTTCCGGCCTTGGCGACAGAGCAAGACCCCGGAGGTCTCAGAAAAATAAATAACGATTTCTCCTACATGCAAAGGAGTACAAAACTTAAGTGTCTAGATTTGAATACCTGAGTTGTAAATTACAGTTGTTAGGAATTATTGTTGTGCAGGTTTTAATCAATGCCTTCTCCATTGATTAAGAGTCTCTGATGATTTAATTATCTTTCTCTTCCTGGTGCAGAAAGGAAGTGAACAGTTTCTTGGAAATGGAACAGTTTCTCTATGGATGTAAATTTATGTTACAAAAGGGTAACTTTTCAGAGCTTGTCCTATGTGTACAGTTTCTCAAAATAACCAGTTCAAAATCATTCTTATGCAAAAGAGGCATATCTGGGGCAACATATTCTGGTCTTCTACAGTCATATTTGGAGCAATGCCTCCGAACCCCATCATTACATGGTTTCAGTATTTTCAGCTTGTCCTAATCTGCACCAGCAGTAAATAAGAGTTCATACTTTCTCAGAACTTTACTGTTAAAATGTGCGCTCTGAATGAAGAGACCCCACAAACAGGCTTTGTGTGAGCAACGTGGTTGTTTATTCACCCAGGTGCAGGCAGGCTGAGTCTGAAAAGAGTCAGTGGAGGGCAGAGGAATAGAAGTAGGTTTTATAGGTTTGGGGTAAGCAGTGGAAAGTTACAGAAGTTACAGTTTAGGACATTGTTACCAAATTATTTTAGCCATTCTGATGGATAAGCAGCAATATCTCATTGTGATTTTACAAGATGGGAGGGGGTTGTAGAGTCGGGGGTCACAAGGTTGACCAAGGTTGGTTACACAGTCCAATGGCATTGTCAATTGAGGCCAGAATAAGAAACAATAGAAGAATGTCCCAAGGTAGTTAGGCACTGAAGGGGTTGATCGTTCTTCTGCTTTTCAAGGTCTTCTAGTCACTTGGGGTTTTCTGTTTCCGGAAGGTCCTCCAGAGTTGTACCTGCAGGTCACAGGGGTTGCCATGATGTCAGTAGTGCCATCAGTCAGGCTAAAAGACCTACATTTACTAATACTCAGAATGGTCAGATTTTTTTAATTTGATGTATGTAAATTTTATTTTACATACATTTTATTTTATTATTTTATTTGTTCATGGTCATTTTGGATATTTCCTGTTTCTGTCCTTTGCATCTTTGTAAAAAAGTAGTTTGTTTTACTAATATGTAGGAGTTATTTTTGACTCTTGTCACCTACATAGGTTGTAAATTGCAAATTTCTCCTCCCCTTCTGTTTGTCTTTAACTTTTTGTCCTTCTTCATACAGAAGTCTTTAGTTTTGATGCTGTTCCACATGTCTCTGAAGCTGTGTTTATATTATTTAATTAAATTAACGTTTTGTTTTTTAAAACTCTGAATACCCTGAGACAGGTCTCAGTTAATTTAGAAAGTTTATTTTGCCAAGATTGAGGACACGCACCTGTGACACATCCTTAGGAGTGTCCAAGGTGATCAGAACGCAGTTTGGTTTTATACATTTTAGGTAGACGTGAGCCATCAATCTACATATGTAAGATGAATGTTGGTTCAGTCCGAAAAGGCAGGACAACTCAAAGCAAAGGTGGGACAACTCAAGTGGGAGGGAGCTTCCAGGTCATAATGTAGATAAGCTACAAATGGTTGCATTATTTTGAGTTTCTGATTAGACTCTCCAATGAATGCAATCAGATAAGCATTTATCTCATGGGCAGACTTTGAATAGAACAGGAGGCAGGTTTGCCTTAAGCAGTTCCCAACCTAACTTTTCCTTTTAACTCGGTAATTTGGGGGCCATGAAATTTGTTTTCCTTTCACAGTTTTTAGGTAACACCATGCTTCACTAATTTTGTTTTAAAGAAGGGGTCTTGCTAGATTGCCCAGGCTGTAAGTTTTTATTTCTCCAGGATAAATGCCCAGGAGTATAATTACTGAGTTACGGGGTAGTTGCATGTTGATTTTATGAGAAATTGCCAAACCATTTTTCAAAGTATCTGGATCATTTTAAATCCCCAGCAGCAATGTAAGAGTGGTCTAGTTTCTCCATATCTGCATCATTATCTGGTGTTGTTACCAAATTATTTTAGCCATTCTGATAGATGAGCAGCAATATCTCATTGTGATTTTAATGTGATTTTCTCTAATGGCTAATGAGGTTAAATATCTATTCATGTGTTTATTTCCTATAACTATTTCCTCTTCAGTGAAATGTCTATTTTGCACATTTTCTAATTGGACTGTTTGGGTTTTATACTGTTGAGTTTTGAGAGTTCTTCAAATAGTCTGGATACCACTCCTTTGTTGCATAAGCAGTTTACAAATACTTTTTCCCAATTTGTAGTTTTTTTTTTATATTTAAGCATGGCTTTCCTCAGAGCAAAAGTTTGAAATTTTGATGAGGTTCAATTTATCATTTTTTTGCCCTTAATAAACCATATGTTTTATCTTAAGTTTAAAAACTTTAGCCACAGATTCTAAAGATTTTTTCCCATTTTTTTTTCTAAAATTAGTATAGTTTTATACTTTTTCCTTAAGTTCATCATCCACTTAAGTTAATTTTTGTGTAAGATGTAGGGTTTATGTCAAGGTTCATTTTTTCCTCCTATGAATATCCATTGTCTCTAGCATTCTGGGGATTTTTTTTGTTTTTTGTTTTTAATTTTGTAGAGACTGGGTTTTACTGTGTTGGCCAGGCTGGTCTCAAACTCCTGACCTCAGGTGATCTGCCTGCCTTGGCCTCCTAAAGTGCTGGGATTACAGGCTAAAAAAACAGGGGTGAGCCACTATGCCCCACCTGTTTTTTATTCTTAATAAACTTAAAAAACTCAGATGTACTGAAAAATTATGAAGATAGTACGGAGTTCCTAGACCCTGCACCTAGTTTCTCCTTTTTGGCGGGGGACAGAGTCTCACTCCATCACCCAGGTTGGAATGCAGTGATGTGATTCTCTGCCTCTTGGGTTCACGCAATTCTTGTGACTTAGCCTCCTCAGTAGGTGGAATTACAGTCATGCACCACCATGCCTGCTTAATTTTTATTTTTAGTAGAGACAGGGTATCACCGTGTTGCCCAGGCTGGTCTCAAAGTCCTGAGCTTAAGTGATTCATCTGCCTTGGCCTCCCAAAGTACTGAGATTACAAGCATGAATCACCACACCAGGGCCTAGTTTCTCTTATTGACATCTTACATTGGTATGGTACATTTGTCACAATTAATGACCCGATATTGATACACTATTATTAACTAATGTCCATAGTTTATTCAAATTTCCTTAGTGTTTTTTTTTAACCTAAAGTCTTTTTTCTGTTCCATGATCTCATCCAGAATAGCATATTACATTTCTTATATCTCCTTATACTCTTGAATGTGACAGTTTCTCAGACTTCATTGTGTCTGATGACCTTGACAGTTTTGAGGAGTACTAGTAAAGTATTTTGTAGAATGTCCCTCATTTGGAATATGTCTGGGTTTTTTTTTTTTCATCACCCTATTGACTGTAGTTTCTGAGAGCCTTCTAGGAGGAAGACCACAGAGTAAAATGTCATTTTTTTCACATTATATCAAAAGTACATGATTTATCAATGTTGACAGTGCCCTTGATCACCTGGCTGAAGTAGTGTTTCCCAGATTTCTCCACTGTAGTTATTCCCTCTACCTCTTTCCATATTGTACTGTTTGCAGTGGAGTCACTTAGGAGTGGATATTATGCTCCACTCTGTGTGTGTGTGTGTGTGTGTGTTAGAGACAAGGTGTCACTCTGTTGTCCAGGCTGGAGTACACTGACACAAATGTGGCTTACTGTCACCTTGAACTCCTTGGCTCAATCAATCCTCCTGCTGAGACTACAGGTGCGCACTACCATACCTGGCTTCCCCCCCACCACCATCCCAAGAGATGGGGTTTTACCATGCTACTGAGGCTGGTCTCAAACTCCTGGCCTCAAGTAATCTTCCTGTCTCAGGCTTCCAAAACACTGGGATTATAGGCATCAGCTACCACACCTAGCCTCTGTTTGTTTTTTATTTTTATTTTTCAGATTGAGACAGTTTCTATTGATCTGTCTTCAAGTTCATTGATTCTTTTTTCTACCATTTTAATCTGCGATAAATTTCATCCTGTGAATTTTTCATTACAGTTATTATACTTTTCCATTCTACAATTTGTGTGACTTCTTTTATTTTCATTTATTTGGTGAGAATCTTTATCCGTTAATTCATTAAGATTATATTTTGATTTAGCTATTTGAACATATTTATAATGGCTGTTTTCAAAATCTTAGTCTGTTAAACCCAACATCAGGGCTGTCTGAGTTTCAACTTCTGTTGACTTTCATTTTTCTTGACTATGAGTCACATTTTTCTGTTTTTCTGTTCTTTTTTGCATATCTAAAGTTTTTTTTTTATTGAAGACTTTGTGGAGTAGACATTGTCAAGATTCTGAATTCTATGTCTTTCTGAAGAGTACTGATTTTTCTTCTAAAAGGTAATGCCATTAGTGGTTAAGCATCTTGAATTAGTGTAGGTTTAGTTTTATGCTTTATTAGGGTATATCTGGGAAAGCCCAGGGTTTATCCCAAGATCCTGTCTCTTAGCAAGACTCATGCTTGTTATGGCTCTATTTTAGACTTTTTAAATTCAATTCTAGAGTAGTCGGTGCTGTAGGGTATGATCCCTTCTCCAAGGAAATTGTCTTCCTGGTGTCTCAGCTGTATTCTCAGAGTGTTAATGAGGTTTCTTTACTGTGGCTACAATGGATTGTCAGTGTCCTCCAACACTACTTGACCTCTCATATCTCTATTCCACTCTTGAGTCTGTAACAGCCACTCTTTTAAGTCTTTCTATCTTCATTCTGCACAGGCTCAGCACAGGTCTACATGAAAGACTAAGAGGTAACGCACGCATAGTTTTCCGAAGTTCCTCATCTGCTCAGTTTCCTACTCTCTAGTGCCCTATACCAGACAATTCATGTCTTTCACTGCCTCAACTTCTAATCTCTGCCTACTGAACTCAACAAAACTAGCATTCTGTTTCAGCTCCAACTCACTGACCTACAGTCAGAAAACTATCCCCAGGGAGAGAGCCCAGAAGATGATAGGTAGCATCTCATGAGATTTCCTTCTCTCAGACATGATAGACTTGCATGCTCAATTGTCCAATGTTTGAAACACATGTGTTATATATTTTGTTCAGTTTTATGGGTATTTATTGTTGGAAGGCTAGCTGGTACCAGTTGCTCTGTTACAGACAGAAGCAGAACTATTTTTTGAATTTTTATAAGATAATTTTAGACTTGAAGAGTTGGAAAAATAGTACAAAGAGTTCCCTAGCTTTTCTTAATGTTAATATCTTATATAACTATGGCACAGGTATTAAAACTAAGAAATTAACATTGTTAACAATACTGTTACTAACTATACACTTTATTCAAATCACTTCAGTATATCTACAAAAGTCCTCTTTTTATTCCAAGATCCCATTCAGGAACTAACATTACAATTAGCCACCATGTCTCCTTAGACTCCAATCCGTGATGGTGCCCAGTCTTTCCTTGTCTTTCATAACCTTGTGGCTTCACAGACCTGGTCAGTTGTACTGTAGAATGTCCCTCCATTTGAAATTTTCTGTTTTCTCATTATTATATTGTAATTACATGTTAATGAGAAGAACATCACAGAAGTGATTTGCTCTTCTCAGTGCTTCATATTAGTTGGTGCATTTGTGTCAAATGTCACTGCTGGTGATGTTAAACTTAATCAGCACTGTGGCTCATGCCCGTAATCCCAGTGCTTTGAAAAGGCTGAATCAGGAGAATTCCTTGAGGTCAGGAATTTAAGACCAGCTTGGGCAACATAGCAAGATTTCAGCTCTTAAAAAAAAAAAACAGTTTTATAAACGTGGTTAGGTGGTTAAGGTGTTTTCTGCTAGGTTACTTCACTGTAAAGTTATTATTTTTCCTTTCATACATAAT